TTAGTTGTATTTGACAATTTCCCTGAATCTCCAAATTCTATCCACATCTTCCTGTTTGTGGAAGCACCATCGCAAACCATGCCATGAACTTCCGCTCCACAATTTTCCAATTTCTTTATAATTTCTAAAATTAACTGTGCAAGGCAAGTTCCTTTCGTTGGTCCCTTTGCAGCATAAACAGCTATTGGTTGAGCAAAATTATCAGCTAAGGATGTCCACATAAATACTAAAGCATGGTCTGCGTGCTGGCCAGTGACGACAATTTTTGAAGTTTGTGCATTACCGTCGCCAAAATCTTCTGCTCCAACTAATTTAAGATTTTTAACATTCAGCTGTATGTTCACGCGAACCGACATCTCATCGAAAATCAACATACCCTGCCTTGCAAATTAATTTTGTTCTTTCATTTTAATTTTAAATGCTTCGAAAAATTCTTCGTCAAGTCCACATTTTACTTTTACTCGCGATAAGTATTTACGTACCGTTGATACAACGGGGAGAGGTAAAATTTCATTTTTTCTTAAAAAACCGTACGTTTTTGGACTTTTAATGTGAAGTACGTATTAAACACATAAGCAGCCAGCTAGAGCTATAACGTCTGGACGTTTTTTGTTTTTATCTAGCCATCTTAATGCATTCCATCACTAACATTTTTTGAGCGGAAGGTAAATTCTCCATCTGATCAATTTTGTTCTGCACTTCTTCTTCATTCACGGTTTTCATTTTTTCTTTAGCTTCTTTTAACTCTTTCTTTACTTGCATTAGTCTACTCTGCAGTCTTTGTTCACGTTTGCAACGGTTAGCTACATTTTTCAAAAAGAGGTTTTGTCTTGACATTGTGCACTTTGTAACTTTCTTTTTAAAATAGCCGAGTGCTTTTTAACGTTTTTACACAGAGAACAGTAGTTCATAATATCTTTACGTAAGCGTTCTGTAGTACTCAACACGTAATTGCAATTTCTATGTCTAACAGTTTTAGAAAATTAATCTTTGTAATACCGTGTCCTATTAAAGTCTATCGAATTTTCACTTATGTTGTTTAATCCGTAACATATGAAAAGTTGATCGAAATCTACCAAAGTTTTTTTCAAAATCAGCAACAGAATCAATTTTAGTATTTGAGTCTTCAGTTAACCGATCGTGCAAATGTTGGAAAATAAAGAAATTTATGAAGGATTTGCCGAAGACGATTTTTTTTGCAATTACTATATCATTTTCAACCGCAGCTGTTTCAAAAACCGCAATAATATCATTATGAAATTGCATGGTCCAGGACGCAGACGGCAAAGTAATCTTATTCTTCAACAAGTTATCAAACAATTTATGCAACCAAGATTCATTTTCTGAATTAATCTCGGAATTATTGTCTTTGTCAACCTCTTTGTCAACTAAAAGAAATAAGAAATCAGCAAACGAATTTGGGAGATCCCTACTTTATAATAATAATTATACATACCTTCATTTTCGTCTGATGTATTCTTAATTTTTTTATGTTTTGGGACATTTTCATGTCGTTCAATTGACCTTCTTTTCTTGGTCGGTTTTTTAGATAAATGAGAAGGACAATTAGGCCAAATGGATGGTATTGCATTTGCTCTTAAGCGTGGGATTTTCAGTGCATACTTAAACAAAATAAATAACGTACGTTTTTAAATTATTTCGTGTATACAGTCATAATAATATTAATTAATTTTACATCCGTGTTTAAAACTTACCGAATAAGTTTCTGTGACAACTTCACGTATAACATCTTCTTTTAAAAAATGTTTTTCGCACAAAGCGTCATTTATCGATAATTTTTTGTCTGCATGTGGAATCGCAATACTCCACTCTTTTAATTTGTTCTTGGGCACTTTAAATATAGACACTTTGTCTCTATTGCCGCTGTAGCCACTATGACGCCCAGGTGCAAAACAATACCTTCGTGCCATTGTCAAACACTTCAAAATAACAAAAAAACTTATACATAAAGGCCGCCAATGCACTATTTGGCATGTGTTTGGCACTTGCGGAAGGTGTTAGGCGCCAAGCTAGTTTCCTGTCTCTGTCGGTGCCCTCTCTCTCGCACACCGACCACACTCAGATGCCACTAGGCTGAAGCGAAATCGTAGTTCGCCGGCTCACCTCTCTTATTATACATCCGTGGTCAGAACTCACCATTGTTCCAAAATCTCTTCTAATTTAAGCTTCAATAACCACTAAACGATAATAACAAGATTAACAAGTTACGAGCAAATTTTCAAATGCAGAAAAATGACATTTGGAGTTGACAGTTGACATCGTTTGCTCAACAGTGACCTGTAATTTATACTAGATAGGTAGCTATATTTTCGATATGTTGACAACATTTGTGGCACTATCTCCACTGACGTTACTCCAAAACGGCATCACGAGTCACACCTCACACAGATTTCTCTGGGCCTCTTACGGTCCCGTTGATAAAATAATGACAAAATGTATATTTTTTAATTTCCTCTACATAATTGACTAAAAAAAAATCCCTACAATTACCCTACGCATTTCAAATTTTGACAATTGGCCCCTACATGTAGGGAAATTTCCCTACGGTTACCATCACAGCGCCTAAATTTTCAGTAGAAATAGAATTCACTCCTGTAAAATCATTAAATAATCACATCACTGGTGGGTAGGGACAGCGGGAATCTCGTTAATCCATTCATCCGCATCACTAATTATTAGATGGCGTGGCATTTGGCTATCGCTATAGGAGAAATCTTACATTTTCCACGTGATTGACGTTGTGACCTGACGAAAAGCGCGATCCAGGCTGGGGTCGGCGTGTGTGGTATAACCGACGGCCGACCTACTCCCAGGTATAGCATCTGGACCGGGGGCCTTGCTCCCATATTGTTCAAAAACAGCTGCTCTAACTTTCTCTTTGGTGATGTATGGAATTGTGTCTAGATTTGCAACCAGATGCCAGCAACGAGTCCTCATTTGCACATTTTCATCATTATCTTCAGCAGGGTCATCATCAGGTATTAATGTACTGAGAATAGTTTGCAGAGTTTCGAGCATATTGGTTGTAGCTATTTCAGCCTGGTTAACCACAGCCGAGGCAGTAGGTTTAATTTTAAGTTTTTTAGCTGACAACTTATAGGTAACACCCCAAGGATTTTTACTCAAGTCGTCGCTAACAAATTTCTGCCATTAATTATGTTTACTTCTGTGAATAGCATTATTGTATTTTTCTTTAATTCTGTTGTATCTGGCCTAATATCCATTGCGATCATCTTGCAGTCTACACCTTTGGAAGAGTCTCCGAGCTTGTCTGACTTGTTTACGTAGACTCGTTAGTTCTTGTGTCCACCAAGGTATTGGTTTATTCTTAGCCTTTTGATTTTGAGGGCTCTTTCACATAAATTTTGAATTTCAGTCACAAGATTTGCGGTTCTAGTTTCAGTATGTTGTATGCCAGGAAGCCAGGTAGAATTCCTTTCTAAGTATATCAGTCCAGTGCCACTTCTTAGAGTCGACGAGTAACAATGTTTTTAAGGTGAAGAAACAGTTTACGTAGAGTACGCTGCATAGTAACTTGGTGACTAAACTGGTAGGTACGCGATGATCGCTTTGAATAATGTCTTCTTGTACATCCCACTCGGAAATAAATGGTAAGAGCTGGTCAGTAACCATGTCCACTGGAGTAAGTTGTTAGTCTGTTCGGCGGTTTAATCTGATGTGATCTGAGATTGTACAGGTTTGCCATCCAACGACAATTTTTCCTTGTAGTAAAGTTAAACGAAGTTTATGATCAACCTCCACTACCCAGTGAACATATTTCTGATCTCTGGTTCTGAATTTAAAGCATGATCTGAAGTCATCTCTTGAGAAGTTGGCCAGTCGTTCGTTTTGTTTAAAAACTGACTCTCTTAGTGAGACAGTGTAGTGAGACGGCACACCATAAATAGTCAATAGTGGTTTGAACTTGCCCAAAGGTTTCACAACTAACCCAAGCTGTCTAAATTGAGCATTCCTTTCTAGTTGCAACAAGTTGTCTGAGCTGTATTGAATAACAGATTTATTATTTGCTTTTATTAATCTGGAAACCTGGATGCCCAGGTCTTGCGGTTTGATGTTCTGTTCAATAGTATTCTTCGTTTCATCACTAGTTGCAATTTTTGAGTTTGGAGCTTGCATGATAAGTACTTTGGTGGCAGGCTTGGTGGTTACTTGCTTGCCAGTGGGCAGCTTAATTTTATGAGGTGTGACAGCAGCTGTTTGGGCATAAGTAGCCATCGGTTGCTGGGCTGTAGGCTATAGATAATGCGTTGGCGATCTCTGCAATTTGTGTAAGCTTCGTTTGTTCAGCTGTACGTCTGGCAGTTGGATGTTTGCTTTGAACCAGGTAGTTAGAGATTGACGTTGTCAGTTCTAAAATGCCTTGCACTGCTGCGTTAAATTCAGCAGAATTGCTGGGTATCGGACAGTCCGTGATGTCCACTTCAGTATCTTCCTGTCCACTCATTATGCCTTAAAGTGGAAGGAAGGTGTTGATAAATAAACAAAAATAAAAAAATAAAAAAGTTGAAAGGCCGAAGCCAAATACAAAGGCTGTTGGATAAGCCCCCGCTTAGGGGACAAAGCCGTGAAATGCCTGCCGGCGGTGCTTTTAGTGGGTAGGAACATGATTTGATTTGGGGGGTGAAGCCCCCCAGCCTGCCCGTTCGTAGACTTTAGGCCGTCGCCAAACGTCCTCCCCGACTATTCTATCGAAAGCCTCTGCCAAAAGAACCCACCAGCCTCCACGTTGCCTTAAAATGAGCGAGGAAAGACATTCACTCCTCCTTTCACTCCCGACATTTTCATCGCGACTCTTTCACACCCTAATCTAGTCCTATTCTAACTATCCTATCCTAATCAGCTTAGCCTAAATTAACCTAATTTAACCTAGGTTCCCGCTGCTTCTTCTTCTTCCTCCATCCTCATCTCTGCCGCCATCCGGTTGAAGTTTGCGATTTCCTCGTCCTTGGTATCTTCGTTTACTCTGAGTGGGTACGTCCCTCCGACTCGTTCCTGCGCTCTCCTAAAGTTGTCTCTCGCTCGTCGTCCGTGCACTCCGTGAGTGCGTGTTCCGCCGTGTCCTGCACTCCGATCTCGCAAAGACACTCACCGTTTCCCTCGCGCAAATGGAACCTGTTAAAGTACCCTCTGAACGGTCCGTGGCCTGTCAGAAGGCACACTGCGCGGTGGCTCCATCCTCGTAATCTGCCACTAACAACACTGATTATTCTGTGTGTGGCCCTGCCCTTGTCATTGCGATCCCATTCTTGCTGCCATCTATCCATGGTCGCCTTCTGTGCATCCCTCCCAGTCAGGGGAGCCTGCTCTCGAGGGAACCTGTCCGGCTCTTCTCTGGCCTGCCTTGCAATTTGGTCCGCCTTCCTGTTACCCGTAAAAGTCTCCGATGCCCACCACAGTTTTACTGTGGCACCCTCGTCTTGGATCCTCTGCATTTGCTTCCAGATATTGTGAGCTGTACCTCCTTTCCTTCCGCAAAGCATGTCCAACGCCACTCTGGAATCAGTGGCAAAGTGGATTGTTTCGCCGTTCGCTCCTGGCTGTTCTCTTGCCGCGACCCTCAACGCCCACAGCTCTGTCATGTGTGTTGGGTAGTCCTCCTGTAACACTAAACCTTCAGTATTGAATACATTACCATCCTTGATCTTGACGATCCCCACGCCCACTCCGTTGTTGCCTCGAGAAGCGTCTGTAAAGATCCACGTTCCCTCTGTCGTAGAGTCCACTAATTCCTGCCATGTGAGCCTTTGGTCTGCTGGATGCGGCCCTTCTGCAAACACAGGTTTTCCCTCAAAGCCCTCTCTTTTGGTTTTCTCCTATCGATCGTATCGTCTCTTCGCCTCGAGGTGCGGTGGGATACACCCCGCCAACACTTCCAGAGCGACTTTGGACGCTGTTCTATACGTCCTGGTTATTCCCAACAGAAAAGAGCGCTGTGCTGCCCGTAGATGTTTTTGGACTCGAGAGTTTCCCCATCTCTCTCCTCAAATCTCGGCTCCGTATAATAGTGCCGGTTTAATTGCTCTATTGTAGATCTCCCTCAGCGTTTTTGGGTCCGTCCCCCACGTTCTTCCTGCTACCCCTCTTACTTTGTGTGAAGCAGCTGCCACCTTTCCGGCCACGTATTTCGTGTGTTCCACCCAGAGAAGTCCCCGATTGATAATGATTCCCAAGTACTTCATCGAGCCTTTGGGTATGACAATTGTCTCCCCCATCCGGACTCTTGGTTCCCGGAAAACCATTCCATCCCTTCCTCCCCTTGCTGCCGCGAAAACTGCTGCAGTTTTTTCGGGTGCGTAGTCCAACTTGTGAGCCGTTGCCCACTTTTGGCACGCTGTCCATACGTTCCATGCTGCTTCTTAACAGACGGACCCGTGATCAAGATCAACTGGTCGTCGGCGAACGCTTACACCTCGATCTTTACTCCGACACCTGCTACAACCTTATCAATTTCTTCAAACCACTCTTCCATAATCAGAAGCCATAGGATGGGACCTAGGCACGACCCCTGTGGACACCCGCGCGATGTTCTAATTTTGATTTCCTCCGACGTGACACTCCGGTTCTCTAGAAAGTCTGCAATTGTCCTCCCCAGGTTACCTGGGCAATTACTCTCCGCCAGTAGCTGCCTCAGCTTTGGGTACCAGGCTGAGTTGAACGCATTCTTGATGTCAAGTGCCACCAAAAGTGCATGCTTTTCCTCAGACCTAGCTCTTCTCATCATCTGGACCATTCTGTCTATAGCTTCGACCGCTCCCCTGCCTTTCCTGAAACCGAATTGCCTATTGGAAAGCTGGTTGCTCCTTTCGAGGTGGTACCACAGTCTGGTTGCCAGAACTTTGTAGTACACCTTTCCTATTGTTGGGAGTAGGCACACCGGCCTATGTCCCGTACCACTTGGTTTGGGCAGCTAAGCCACCTTCGCCTCCTTCCAAACTCGCGGAAACCGCCCCTCCTGGAGACAGCGATTAAACACGGCGAGCACTTCTTTCCCGACGACCTCGACCAAATAATGTAATCCAGCTCCCTTAATGACATCCTCTAGCTCCTGCAATGAGATTGGCCTTGCCTGCTGCCTATTCCACAAAATTGTTCTGCGCCTAGTAGCCTTATTGTCCTCCGAATCAGTTGATTCATCATCATCTAGGAAGTACTTTCGAATGAGGTTTGCTGCTGTTTCATCCCGGTTTCTGGCCCAAGTTCCTGCACCGTCCTGAGTCGTTGCCCACAACGCCGCAGATCCTCGTTTCCGAAGAGCAAGAATACGGAAAGCGAGCCCCCTAGGGTCGTCCGTTCTGCCTTCAGAAAGCGATTTTTGCAACGAAGCGAGCTTTGCTTCTTTGATCGCCTTTCGGTACTCCAGTCTCCTTGCGTTGTACTGCCTCCGAAGCACTTCCCTGTGGTCAGGATGTCTTTCCGCCTGTAGTTTGATCCGCTTTCTGCGGGTTTCTGTTCTCATCCGTTCCAGTTCGGCATTCCACCAGATGTTACGTGGTCTGTGAAGTGTGCGCTTTCCCTGTGGAATGGCGGCTTTGCAAGCATGCATTGCTGCCTCCTGGAAATCTGCTGCCATATCTTCGGCCAGCCTTCCTGTTGTTGCGAGGCCTGTAAGTTGGTCTTTTATTGTCTGTATAAAAGTCTCCCAGTTTGCCCGAGAAACAATTAGTTGCTCTTCCTGCGTCGTCCAGCCCGGTTCCCTTTCATCTCCCAAAATTCTAAAACAGATAAGCTTATGCTCGTTTAGTAGCTCATCTTCTCGGACGGCCCAGCTCTCCATCGTGATGTTCCTGCTGAAGGTTATGTCAATCCAGCTTCTGCCATTGACAGTCTCGAACGTTGGACTTACATCTTTGTCGTTCTTAACGACAAGATTTGTTGCCCCCACGAGATCCATCAATTGGCTGCCTCTTCCGTCAGTGATATCGCCACCCCACGCTTCGTGTTTTGCGTTGAAGTCTCCTGCTACGATCACTTTTGTTCTGCAGCTTCGCAAAAAATCCTCGATTTTTGACAAAGTGTCATCAAGTCGATTTCTCGGAGAGACATATGCATTTGTAAATGCTATCTCTACTCCTTCCATGTTCTTGATGATAACCGTCCTCGTTGTTTCAGTCGAAAATTGTGCTAGCTGTATGGATCGGAGTTGCGATCTGACCATCGTTGCTGTTTTATCTCCCTGGTTTCCGCCGTAACGTGTCCAACCTTCCCAAACCGGCATGTGTCTATACGGTTCTTGGATGAGCACTATATCTGCTTTTTCGTCGTCTGCAATATGATGCAACACGTCTGTCGCTTCTCTTCCTCTTACCACGTTGGCCTGTAAAACATAAATTTGACTCACGCCCTCAATATGCGACTCACCTTCTGCGGAAAATGGGGCAGTTCTTGTCTCTCGCCGTGTGCCCCGTGCTCTTCAATTTCGCTGCGGCGCAGTTGGGGCACTTCTTCTGTTCCTCCTGGCAGTCTTTCTGAAGATGTGGTCCCCCGCATCTGAAGCACCGTGTCTCCTTTTCTCGGCAGTCCCTCGCCTTGTGACCATAGCCGCTGCACCTGTAACATCTGGTCAATCTTACCTCTTCTTCCACTCTGCACATCGTGAACCCCACATTGAGTCTCCCTTTCGCCAGGATCGCCCTCTGAAGCTTGGGCTCCACTTTGAACACCACATTCTGTCGCTTGCCGCTGACGCACTGCCTCTTCGCCAAGAACTTGAAGTCCTCCTTGAACTTTGCCAACGTATTCGCTGTCCACTCGTTCTTCATGTAGACATCCTCTACGATTTCTTCTGCGGTCCACTCCTTGTCTATGCCTGTCAACGTTACTGTTGGCCGCATCAGTGCGGTCTCCGGAACTGTCATCTCCTTCTTCTCGAGTGCTGCTTGGAGGAGGTGCTTTTGTTTTGCACTCGAACTGACAAGCACCAGCGATCCGTCCTTCTTCTCTACAATCCGGCTGATCGGTTTGCCAATATCCTTGGGATTCATTCGCGACAGCTCCCTCTTCGTCTCCTGTGGCGTCTTCCCATCGATCTTCACAACCACCTCGTAAGCTTGTGGCGTTTTCTCTTTCAACTTCGTCGCGTAGGACACCTTGGTCCATCCAGTCTGTCCATTCGTTTTCGGGGGTTGCCTCTGTTCTTTGGCGGGGCCCCCGTGCGCCAGCACTTCCTTTGCAGCCACCAACTGGGGCTGCGGCTTTCCGGCTGAAAGCCCCTTCGGCTGTGTACTCTTCGTTTGGCCGCGTGGTATCTGTGGTCCAGCCACGGTAGCCGAATAGCTCTTTTGCCCCTCCTCTTTTTCTTGTGACACCTTCTGAGTTGCTACACTTCGCTGCCTCGTTATCTCCGCCTGCAGCAGCGAGTTCGCTTTCTCGCCCGAGGGGATTACCTCGACCAACAAGTTGCCCACACTTACCTGGATCTCTTCTATTGCATCCCTTACCAATTTTTGATCCTTCCTGCGGAAGGTCAATTTCCCACCTTGCTCCCTTCTGGTCAGCTCCGCTATTTTCTTTAGGGCCGACACAATCTTGACATGCGACCCTTTTATCACACTGCCACTTCCCTGTCGTACTGGCGCCAGCTTGGGTGTTTGCTTCGGCGTCGCTTCTTTGCCACCTACCTGCACCAATGCAGACCCACCTGCTTTTCCCGCTACCACTTTCTTTGGGGCTGGAGGCGTCTCCACGCTTTTGTCCTCGCTTTGCCTGATTGGTTTCTTCCTTCCGTTGTCGACTTCCATCACCACTTGGTCCTCCGTCATTTGTCACCGTTGTCTCTGTGACCTACAAAAAAAAAACACCCCTCCAGGAAAAATGTGCCTTACGTAACAGGTTTAAAGAAGCTGCTCTTCCTTCCCTACCGCCTCCAACAAGTTGGGACGGCTCGGTTGGTAACAGTCTGGGGAATACAGACCTAAAAACCACGGTTTACAACACTTCCCACCCCGAAATTTCGTAAAAACACTGTAATTCACTATAATTCACTATCTGTAATTCCCTATAATTCCCCAAAATTACGTCCCTATAATTCCTTATAATTTCCTAGAATTCACTAGAATTCCCTGAAAATAACTTATAATTCTCGATAATACCCTATAATTCTCGAAAATATCAATATCGCTCCCGATAATTCCCGGACACTCCCGAATTATCCCGAACACTCCCGAATCTTCCCGAAGGGAAAAACACGAAAGATATTCCACACAATCTTGAAGTTTCGAAAAAAAGTTGGGTTATGTTTCGTTTCGACCGCTCGTAAAAACACGTCTGCACTGCTCGGCTGCATCAATCAAACTGAGAAAAATTTGACCTTTGACCGCTCCGCAACACGTCTGCACTGTTCAATCGCCCGAACTCAACTGAGTGGGTAGGGACATGATTTACATGATTTGATTTGGGGGGTGAAGCCCCCCAGCCTTCCCGTCCGTAGACTTTAGGCCGTCGCCCTAAAGGCGACGGCCTAAAGTGGGTAGGGACATACATCCGTGATTAAGTTTAACGTGTAGCACCTGGCCCCGAAGCCTCAATCTACACGGCCCCCATGGGCGTGGGATTGGGATACGCCCAATCAGCGCGACCCAGGCAAGCCAGAGTCTACCAGATTAATCTACATTTCAGTCTGCAGATTTCCTCAGGCCAGGACGGAGCCCCATCTAAACTCCTAGTTGACTAAGCAGGTCAACCAACCTGAGCTGATGTGCGCAGCTCCCCCGCCCAGGACGGAGGGCATGGCTGTGGTGCAAGGCCATGCCAACCGTCCTCTAGCCATCATCTCGGCTATCAACCACTGCCCCCGCGAGTCCAACACCAATGGTCGGCCGGAACCTGAGTTCCGGGGCCGCCGACCCCCGCGGTACCAATTTTTCTCGTTCAACACAGGAAATTGGTAAACCTGCGACCATAGGCTACWGTTGAATTGACTGAACAATTCGATACTGATGAACCAGCTCGGGAAGGCGGGGTCGCCATCCCCGAAGACCCTAACTGGAATCAGGCAAGAGTGCCAAAAGCAACTCCCCCTTTCAGCCGGCGGTATCCCCCTGCCTCAACATGACCCACTCTAGAATCTCACACGACGTTCAAACACCTTTCTCGCGAATTCTCCATACACTCTAAACCTAGATTCCTCAGTTACAATCTCATCCAATCCAGTAATACTTCCATCTCCATTCACGACCAAACCCATACCTCCCAGATTCCTCAAATCCTCATACAGATTACACTCAGCCAGCACATGTTTCCAATCCTCACGGAGGGCACCACATTCACATCTGGGACTACCAGATAGCCCCCTTTCATATAACCAAGCATTCATACTACCATGCCCGGTAAGAATGTAACTCTCATACATG